TCCCCCTCCCCCCCTCTCTCTCCCTCTCTCTCCTCTCTCTCTCTCTCTCTCTCTCTCTCTCTCTCTCTCTCCCTCTCCCTCTCTCGCTCTTTCTCTCTCAGTTTTCCGCCCCCGCTATCTCCTGTCTGACTGTCCGTCTGTCTGTCTGTCTGTCTGTTTGTCTGTCTACACGAAGTATACACATAAGTTTATAAGTTCGTGTCAGCACATGAAAACAAACTGTCATGTTTGTTGGGTACTTCGAACTTTTCCGTTATGGGTGGTTGGCGGGTGTTCTGGTGTGGTTTTTGCTCCTTCTTTCCTATCAATCACCCGTTGTCGTTAGCTCTCCTCCTCATGTTTGTTTTTTCTTACTCTCTTGTGCTTACTCTCTTGTGACACCTCTAAATCTTCGGCATTTATATCACCCAAATGTGTTGCAATTGCTATAAAACGCTTACTGAAACAAAACAATAAAATCAGACCCACGTTTGTGTTTATGCCAACTCATCAGCCTCTGACATGGTCTGTGTGCTGGCAATAGGCTAACAAGCTATGGACATGGCTGTGTTTTGCTGTGTCCCTGGTTTTTGCATAATGTGTCCGTGACATCTGAATTTGTTATTTATAAATTATGTTATTATTTTTTTTGGCCACAGGGTTAGGGTTTTTTTCTCCCTTTTTATGTCCCCCCCCCCCCCCTGTTCTTCTCAAATTACAGTCATACCGAAACAAACAGGTGGCAGAAAAATGTTGGCACACCTACGCTGACACATAATACATGTATAATCAAACAAGTGTTAGTGTGTAGTGGGGAAGCGCGTGGCAGTGGCAGGCACAAGGCATGAGTTTGATTTTTGTGAGTGTAGGTTGGGTTTAAAAAAAAATTAAAATTTGTAAATGGAATATCTCCGTCTACTTGCGGGGGCGTTATCACTATCAGCCCAGATTGACTTAGACAGGCAGGGTAGAAGCAGCCCGATCACCTATATGACATAAAGTGTGTCTATGTGCGTAGAACACCTTGTGGGTGGTTGGCGGGTGCTCTGGTCAGGTTTGCGTCTTTTTTCCTATCAAACGTCTATCGTCTTTATCTCTCCTCCTTCTTTTTTGTGTTTGTTGCTTTCTTGTAACATCTCTAATCTTCGGCACTTACATGACCTTATTGTGTTGCAAGTGCCGTAAAACACGTACTAAAAAAAGTAGAACACCTTCAATAATTACTAGGAAAATTGTCATTCATCTAATCCGATAGCGCCCGTTTCTAGGATGGCCAAGAGCCAAAGCGAAAATTTAAAATGATAAAAGCAAATGAAAAAAAAAAGTTTAAAAAGGAAAAGAAGTAAGAAGAAAAGAAAAAAGAATGAAAAAAGGGAATACGGAAATTTGGTATTGACTCTTATTGAGAACTAACTAGTGGTAGGAAGGCTCCACGGGTAGGGCGTACTTCTTTTCTTTCCTTCTCTTGCTTCTTGTATATTTGTATTACTTTATCGATCCCATTCTCTAAATTTTGGCAGTTATTGTATCGACGTGCACCTCTTGACAAAAAAAAAACAACTACAACAAACAAACAAACAAACAAACAGTAAAAAGGAGGGAAAATTTTTTCCCCTATGGCTTCCGTTAATGCTTGGAATGAGCGCCAAAATGAATCGTAAACATCACGCCCCTTCTCAGTGTTCTCATAGTGTTTTGCATCCGGTTTCTGTTGCTTCCGTGTTTTCTTCCGTGGGGATTTCCTGTTTATATTTGTATATATTATGTAAGTAGTATGCATGTATAGCCTACATGTTGAGATCCTTTTTGAAGTGTTGGTTTCAGCGAATCGGCCTCTGATTATTTGCCGGTGGTTGGCGGGTGCTCCAGTGTAGTCTGCTCTTTCTTCCCGATCTAACAGCTACGGTCCTGATCTCTCTCCTCTCTTTTTTCGTACGTTACAAGTTACTCTCTTGTAACACCTCTGAACTTCCGCACCTAATTGTGCCGTAAAACGCTTACTAAACACACAAAAAAAGGATCTGATCTTAATATGCGGACGCACCATTGGCGTTGTTGTTATTGTTATGAGCTGCTGTCCGAGTTACTGCCAGGGCTTGAATTTTCAGGTGTACATTGTCCGTTGTATTCACATAGATAGATATATAGATAGATAAATAGACAGACAGACAGATAGATAGATAGATCGATAGATAGATAGATCGATAGATAGATAGATAGATAGATAGATAGATAGATAGATAGATAGATGGATAGATCTAGATCGCTGGATGGATAGATGGATGGATGGATAGATGGATGGTTGGGATGTTTGAATTTGTGTGTGTGGGGGGAGGGGGGGGGGTAACATTATTTCACTGACAAGGAAAAAATCTAGGTCAGGACATGTTCAATTAGAGGGTACCTATCCCAGAGGGCTGCATATCTCGCACATTGATGCTTCACAAATAAATGCCGAAGCCAAGAGAGAAGCTATCAAGCTGCGCAGATATCCACAAATATAAATGGAGCTTTTAAATGTTCGAAATGTGGCATTCTTTTCAACCGGAACTGGTCTCATACGCCAGAGCACAAGCCGCACAGGGTCTCAATGATTGTTTCTTCTATTTTTTAATATATTTTTTTGTCTATGAAGTATTCTCCACCGCAGGCATTGGTCATCGTCAGGCATAGACAGACGAACTATTATTTTACAACAATATAACAACAACCATAGTAATTATAATAGAAATTATAAAGATAAAAAAAATAATACATGTAAC